ATTCCTCAATTGAGGGACATCTGCGTTGTTTCCAGGTTCTGGCTATTACAAATTAAGCTACTGCAAACATAGTTGAGCAAATGTCTTTGTTGTGTACTTGAGCATCTTTTGGATATATGCCTAGGAGTGCTATACCTGGATCTTGAGGTAGCACTATTCCTAATTGTCTGAGAAAGCACCAGATTGACTTCCAAAGTGGTTGTACCAGTTTACATTCCCACCAGCAATGAAGGAGGGTTCCCCTTTCTCCACATCCTCTCCAGCATGTGTTGTCACTTGAGTTTTTGAACTAAAGCCATTCTGAGTGTAAGGGTCATTTTGATTTGCATTTCCCTGATGACTAAGGATGTTGAGCACTTCTTTAAGTATTTCCCTGCCACTCGATGTTCCTCTGTTGAGAATTCTCTGTTTAGCTCTGTACAACCAGTATTTTAATTGCCTTAGATTCTTCATTTCAACTGTCCCCTATCATCCTCCTCATGTACTGAGTAGTGGTGAGCATTTGAGGGAATCAAGGCAAAGGGAAACTGAGATTGGAATAAATTTCGAGGCTGTGAATACAGGAGAGGTATGTAGGTCTCCTCTTCCATAGATCTTCCATAGATCTTCCAACTATGTAAGTCTCCTCTTCCATAGATCTTCCATAGATCTTCCAACTATGGATAGAAAACCTAGGGGAAGCTGGCAAGTATGGTGAACTCCTGTCATCCCAGCACTTGGGAGGCTGAGACAAGAGGATAAGGATTCATAAACAGCCTAGAAAAACCATATCTCAAAAAAAAAAAAAAAAAAGGAAAGACAGATAGGGAAAAATTAACAGGAAATATTAGAAATGAGACCAAGACAGAAACTTTCTTATTAGATGCCAGAATGGCTAAGCATTTATGAGGTGCATAAAACAGGCCGCCAGGAAAGGAGGACCAGGGGAAAAGTGGAGCTTGCCTGGTCAAAGCTGTGTTCCAGGCAGGAATCTCTTCCTTCCAACCTTCAGAACTAAGGGAGACTTAATTTCTGCTGGTAGAGCAACTGTAGATATTTTTTTACAGCAAACAGGAAACAGTAAACAAAATATATTAGGAGATTCATTTCTTTTTTTATTTTTTATTTTATTTCATTTTTTTCATTTTTTTTAATTTTATTTTTTTTCTTATCAGTTATATTTTATTAACTCTGTATCCCAGCCATGTCCTGATCCCTCATTCCCTCCCAGTCCCTCCCTCCCTCCCTCCCTCATCTCCACCGTGCCCCTTGCCAAGTCCACTGATAGGGGGGACCTCCTCCCCATTCATCTGCTCCTGTTTTATCAGGTATCTTCAGGACTGGCTGCAAAGCTCTCCTCTGTGGCCTAACAGGACTGCTCCTCCCTTGGGGGGTTGGGAGGCCAAAGAGCCAGTCATTGAGTTCCTGTTAGAAATGGTCCTTGTTCCCCTCACTATGGGAAACCAATTGGTTACTGAGCTACCACAGGCTACATTTGAGCAGAGGTTCTAGATTATATCCATACATGGTCCTTGGTTGAATGTCAGTCTCAGAAAAGACCCTGTGCCCAGATATATTTGGTCCTTATGGAGCTCCTATCCTTTCCCCATCAGACTAACTCCCCTCCTTTCTTATGATTCCCTGTACTCTGCCAAAGGTTTGGTCATGAGTCTTTGCTTTGAAAACACTGCTAGTTAGAGTCTTTCAAATGTGCTCAGTAGACTCCTGTCAATGTTCAATGCGCATCCCCTCTGTCTTTCAACACAAGGATTGATAATCTTACCCCATGTCCGCTCTCTTAATTATCTTTTTTAGGTGTATAGAGATTAATTTCTAAGAGTAACATATAACAGAATACAATTGGTGATGTCATGCCTGGTAATTTCTCATGATCTCTTTAAAGTCTACAGTTTTTACTTTCTTATCTATTTTTGTGTTCTTTCTTTAAAAGACTGCCTCCCCAAATATTATGTTAAAACTTGGGATGCCCCTGAAGGCACCAAATCTTCTTCTCTCTCTGCTCAGTTGATACCTAGAGAGCTTACCAACACACCATCAAAATTCTTGCAAACCAATGGTGGTGGCTCTGCAGCTCCCCTTGCTAGGAGGCACTGCCCTACTTCTTACATACATGTGAATCTACACAGGAGGCCCAGCTCATCCATCTGAGGACAGAATGGACCAGTGTGTAAGTAGAAGCTTGAGTGGATGCGGAAATATTCAGGATCAACCCAGACTCAATCAAGATCACCTTTGCTTTTAGAATTCACATTGCACATTGTTCAGCTTGTTTGTTTGTTTGTTTGTTTGTTTGACTTGAGGAAAAAAGTGCTTAAGAATCTTCTGACTCCTAAACTGAGTTGAAAGCCGGAAGTTAGTAGACCAGTGAGGAAATCAAGAACTTTGAAACATCTCATCTCAGGAAGAAACTTCCAGTTAAAAACATCTACACACACCAAACCCATTATAACAGCCCAAAATATAAGCGATTGAGTAAGAAGATCCACAGAGAGACTACGCTTCCCTGCCCAACACCCCTTCCCAAATGCACTCTGAAAAATGAGTGCAGACTCGGTGGGTACCAGCATACAGGATTTATTCTCTGTTTGGTTGTGTGCTCAAGGGGAGGATGTGAGAATATGAAATACGTTATCTAGCAGTTCTATCAAACACAGGTTGTTCCTGGAATGAATGCACTTACAGGTCTGTGATGAATACAGTTTATAGAACAAAGTATTTTCTATGGAAAATTACAATGAAATGACTTGAATTTAAAAATGTAAACTATGCTTACTTGTATATTTCCTCTGTTCCACACTTGCCATTCTTTTCATGTATCCCAAGGAGGAGGGGTAGAACAGGGACACACATGTTCACACAGAGAAATGAATGCCCTTCACACAATTTCCTAACCACCACTTTAAACACTCTGGCTGTTATTTCTGTTAGACCATGTTCAAATTGAGTATGTTTTATTTTTTTACGAAGAAAATGAAAAGCAGTTTGCTTTGTTATTGGATGTGTAGAAGGGAGTTGTTTGAGCCCAACATCATCTCCTACAATTTCCCACATCTCAATTCTAGTTTCCTTCTCCCTGTCACATGTGCGAGCTGGGGTCCTGGCAACCCCATCACACGCTTACTCAGTCACTTGCTTCTTAGCCCCTTTTAAAATTATGGGCTTTCTTGAAAGCATAATTACTCTGCCCTCAAATAAAAACACACCAACACACATGCACTCAAAACCACAAAATTCTAGTTGGGCATAGTGGTACATAGCTGAACTTCCAGAACCAGAGAAACTGAAGCCAGGGGACTCCGGAAAGTCTGAATCTAGCCTCAGTTACATAGTAAGTTCAAAGCCAGGCTAGACTACATAGCAAGACTTTACCTCAAAGAGGTAGGTAAGTGGGTAGATAGGAAGGAAAGGAAAGAGGGAGAGAAAAGAGGGAAAGGAAAAGGGGAAAAGAAAAACAGAAAGGAAAAAGGAAAAGGAGAAGGAAAAGGAAAGGAAAGGAAAAGGAAAGGAAAGGAAAGGAAAGGAAAGGGGAAAGGAAGAAGGAGAGAAAAAAGGAAAGGAAAAAAAGAGGAAAGGAAAGGGAAAGGGAAAAAGGAAAAGGGAAAGGGAAGGGAAGAGAAGGGGGAAGGGAAGGGGAAGGGAAAGGGAAAAGGGAAAGGGAAGGGAAGGAAAGGAAAGAGAAAGGGAAAAAGAAGGGAAAAGGAAAAGGGAAGGGAAGGAAAGAGAAAGGGAAACAGAAGGGGAAAAGGGGAAAAGGAAAAAAGGGAAAGGAAAGGAAAATATATTTTACATCATCATAAATATATTTATTTATATTTATATATTATATAAATAATATATATCATAAATATATATTATGTATATAATAAATATATACATAAATATATTTTACAAAGGGAAAAAGAAGGAAAAAGGAAAAGGGAAGGGAAGGGAAGGAAAGAGAAAGGGGAAAAGGGAAAAAGAAGGGAAAAAGGAAAAAGGGAAAGGAAAATATATTTTACATCATCTCTGCCTTAGTAATGCAGCCAATGCGGCAGAATGTGGGTGAGAAACCTTTGTGCCTGAGTGATCCACTAGGCAAGTGAAAGGACAAGGCCAGCTGTGATGCTCCCTCCTGTAATCACAGCACCAGGGAAGCAATGGCACGAAAATCAAGAATTTAAGTCCACACCAGAAAGATGTCTCAGAAAGTAGAGGCACCTGCCACCAAGATTGACTTTGATCCCTGAAATGCACATGGTGGAAAGAGAATCTGCAAGTTATCTTCTGACCTCCTTATATATGCCTACGGTACATGAGTGAATGAGCACACACACACACACACACACACACACTCACACAATAAATAAATGTAAAAAAAACAAATTGAGAATTAGGGGCCGGTGACATGGCTCAGTGGTTAAGAGAAAGTAGTATTCATCCAGAAGACTGAATTTTATTCCTACCACCCACATCAGGTGGCTCATAACTACCTGTAACTCCTGCTCCAGGGGGTGAGAATCTGAAACCCTTTTCTAGACACCAAGGGCACACGCATGCGCATGCACACACACACACACACACCAGAAATATATACACCTAAGTAAAGTGTTTAAAAAGAATTTGAAGATAGCCTGGGCCACACAGGTAAGACTCTATCTCTAAAACAAATAAGCAAACAGACATAAGAAGTAGCTGTGGGATTACTTTGTGGAAAATTTAAAACCGACAAAATATTTCACAATTGCCATAAAATTCATGTAAGGCAATATTTGAAAATAAGAAATTACTAAAAGGGAAAGTGGTTATTTGGATTTCTAATTCCCAACAATGGTGCCTTTGATTATTCGATTTTAAAAGATTGTGTAGCTTTTATTTTAAAAAAAAACCCATCTTCAATAGTACTGAGTAAGAGGTAAGTTCAAGTTGTCACTTCTCTACAAATGGTTCACCTCTTTTAATACTAAGCAAATCTAATGTCCAAGCAAACATACACTTAACAAGATCACAAAAAATTAAATCTATTGAAAATACATGTCATCTTTAATGTTTATTTCACATTAATTCATCACATTAATTAGATAATAAATACTCTTATTTATTATCTAAGTACATCCAGTTATGCAAATTAATAGTTTTTTTTTCACATAGTCACATTTCTAATATACATACAACAGGACACAGAATACATTTGCAATATTCAGCCTGTCAAACCTTGCCCGGGATAAACAAGATTCTCAGTAGCTTTATTATTCTACATGCGGATAAATACAGTTCTCAATAACTGGCATGAATCAAGACTGCTGAAAGAGAAGCTGAGTACATTCTCATTCCATCTGGGGTTGTGTGCACTTGTTTATTTTACCGTGGTCTTCTAATTGTTGAATTACAATTCGATGCATAACTTATCTCTGGGAAGTCCTAAAAATACTCCCAGTGGCTTCTGTGGTCATTTCTAGAGCTCTTGAACTGTGCACAGAGTTGACATAAGAGACCTTCCACCAAATTATCAGTGTTGAGACTGCAGTGCCATGTAGTCACCTAAGGTGTCTTCAAAAGTGGTCATCAACATCATTATCCCTCTTTTGTTTTTGCTTTTAAATCTTGCCAGGATAAAAAATGAGCAATTATTGTTTCCATTAGGCGAAGGAAAAGGCAGAGCAGCGCAACCAGTGCTATTTTTTAAAAGGAAAAAAAGTCACATCAAATTAACAAACTGAAATCTTTAGTTCAAACTTCACGAGCTTCAGCTATAAGATGCTCGCATCACAGTCCTAGATGACAGCATGCTCGTTCTGTTCGATGTTGCCCATGAGATCTTTTGTGTCGCTCATTCCTGGGCTGGGATTGCTGTTAAAGTACAGCGTGTTCTCGAAGGTGGCCTCTTGAGGTACGTGCAGAGCACGCCTTTTCTTATAAAAGAAATAGGCTGCAACACCAGCGCCCATCAGAATTAGGAGGACCACAATGACCACTCCTGCTGCTCTCGAAGAGCCCCTGGGCTGAGGATCCATCTTCCTTTGGTCAGCTATAGACAAAGAAAATCACTAGAAAACAGGTTTGCGGGGAGAGGATCTTGAAGAAAATTTTCAACACATGAATATTTTTTCAAATGGTATTTGTCGAAAGAAGTGAAAGCAGGAGTCAATGTAACAAAGAGGACACCTTAACGTGTTCAGGTGAGTGTGTGGCTGACAGAACACTTTGCTCCTCTATGCAACATGGAGGTAGTATAGCAGTTGAAATTCAGACATTTATCTTGTATCAAAATAGTTAACAACTGAGGGATGGGTGGAGGGAAATCTCAGTGTCTAGGAGCACTGGTTGTTCTTTCAGAGAAAGCTGATAGTTTTCCTGGATCCTCCAGGCACAGATATGTATGCAGCAGCCTCTCACAAAACACACACACACACACACACACACACACACACACACAGTCTGCCTCTCACAAAAATACATTATACAATAAATACTTTTTAAATGAAATAATTTAAGGCTGCTTACAAATATACTTTCAGAAGATAAGTAAAACGGTGGTGGTCGTGGATGTAGCAATTACAAACAATTTTTTTAAATCAGGGGAAAATAAAAAGGGAATCAGAACTCCTGAATATAATTAACAAACAAATGTCACCCATGAGATCAATGGGGTATTTACAAGCAAGCCATTAATCTCACTTTGAGTTTCTTTAGCAACCACCAAAATAGAAAAAATTGGATTAATTATCTAATTCACATTGTCTATAAACATGAAAACAAACTTTCAAAAGACAGAGAAAGAAAGAGAGAGACCTAGAAAGACCTTAAAGGAAAAGTCTTTTATAGGATCTCACAAGGTAACTTTTTGTAATACAGCAATGTCTTCAAGAACTTTTTAGACTAAAAATACAAATCTGCTTTCTTAAACATCATGGATGGTGGACTGTGGCCTAATGACAAAGGTTCACATAAGCCATTCTACTGAAAGCAAAGGAGGAGGAGGTTTGAAAGCAAGCTGAGTCACGGAGGGTTCATAATGACCTTACCTTTTGTCGTAATGGATGAGTGTGTAGTTATAGGATCAACAACTGTTGGAAAGAAAGAAAATAAAGTTGTAAAAATCCATAATCACTATGTGAAGTAAATTGTATTCAGGTCAGACGTGCATTGTGTCTTCCATGTGGTGTGGTGTGGTGTATGATTGATGTGATGTGATATGATGTGATGTGATGTGGTGATGAGGTGATGTGATGTGATGTGATGTGATGTGGTGATGAGGTGATATGATGATGTGGCGTGGTGTGGTATGGTGTGGTGTGATTGATGTGATGTGGTGTGGTGTGGTGTGATGTGATGTGATGTGATGTGATGTGATGTGATGTGATGTGATG